GAACCAAACAGAAGGTTCTCAAAAGATGAAATGCAAATAGCTGAGAAGTATTTAACACTCTGAGCTATCAGGAAAATGTAAATAAAGACTACATTAATATTTCATCTTACCCTAGTCAGAAGAGCTAAAATAAAAAACAAAACAAATGACAAAAATGCTGGTGTGGATTTGGGGAAAGGGGACATTTACTCACTGCTGGTGGGGGAGCACACTGAGCAGTCACTGAGGAAGTCAGTGTGGCAGTTCCTCAAAAAGCTGGAAGTAGATCTACCAGATGATACAACTATTCTGCTTTTGGTCATATACCTTCAGGACCCCCATATCTTATTACAGAGATACTTAGTGCTACTCTAGTCACAATAACCAGGAAATGGAAACAACCTATATGCCCACCAACTGATGAATAGAAAGTGAAAATGTGGTACATTTACACAAGAGAACATTCTTCAGCCGTTATGAAAAAATGAAATTTCCAGGTAAATTGATGAAGCTGGAAACAATCATTCTGTGTGAGGTAAGCCAGACCCAGACAGACAAATGCCACATGTTTGGTCTCATATGTGGATGCTAGCTTTGAATCTTTAGACATGTGTGTTTCATTTGAAACACTCATGGAGGTCAGGAAACTAGAATGGGACTATGGGGGAGGGGAAGATATTTTATGGGAAGGGAGGTAGAATGCAGTGATATAGAAGGAGAAAAGGGATATGGAAAAAGAATGGTTAAATGTGATGGCAGATGGGAGGGCAGGGTAGAGGAAGAGTGGGGAAGCATAACTGATACTAACATCCTTTTGGAAAAGTTGTGGAAGCTTTCTAAAACACACACACACACACACATACACACACACACACACACACACACACACACACACACACACACATATATATAATGAGTGTAAGCGGAGTCACACTATAATGAGGAGATAATACCCCTTCTAGAGACCACAAGCTAACAAGTAAAACACCAGTACCAGGAATGGGTTATCTCTTTTTGATTGGTTGGCCAGTGGGGTCCTATAGATCTCCTACATTATAGGTTATTGACATTACTCTTGGTTCCTCTCCAGAATTTCATGGTGGGACCCTATTGCTGAAGATGTTACATACTTAAGTCATGAACATGGAGAAATCAAGCTTGTATTGACCTAAAAGCTCCATACCCACTAGCTAGCTTTCATAGTGCTGGCAGGTACTAAAAAAGGTTATGTCTGGAGTACAGGAGACCCATTTGGGCATCTCTTGGTGATGCCATGTCCTGTGATTAAAGTCAATGGGAAACTAAAGCAGCCTGATCCAGGCAGGATGACACAGGGCATAGACTTTCAGGAATGAAGATGTGGGTCACTCCTCTAGGAAAAGACCCAAGACTTTCTGAGGTACTTGCAGAGGGTGGAAAAAATACAGAATGGGTAGTAGAGAAAGGTAGTTACAATTACCAGCTAAGGCCATGTGACCAGTTACAGAAATGAGGATTATAAGTGATAGAATAATAAGATATGATATTGTAACTTTCTATTGTATTTTGTTAAAAATGTATTTGTACAGATATTTGTGTTTTCTTTCCTCGATTTATTTATTATGTAACTCAGTTAAAAGATTGTCAGTGGTTATCATATTCAAGTTTGAGATATTAAAATAATGTCCTCAAGGGACATTGCCACATATTCAAAATTTATAATGCATTTGTGATTGTATTGGGATAGTTATATCATGTTAGGCATAATTATGAACTGGCTATTGTTTTCATCTGGAAATTAAGCTTGAGATAAGGAGATATAATTGTTTGTCAAGTTCACAAGGGGTGGACTTGTGATGACTATCCTTGGTTGTCAAGTTGACTCCATCTGGAGTTAACCAAAACCCAAATGACTGGGCACACATGTGAGGAATTTTTTTTCTTAATTTAGTCATTTGAATTGGGAAAACTCACTTCTAATATGGATCTTGGAGGTGGAAACAAACTTTTACTATAGATCTTTTGGGGTGGGGAGATCCACCTTTAATTTGGAACACACCTTATTTTTGCAGGCTGTATAAAAGACATGGAAGAAGGAAGCTTGCTCTCTCTTTGCCAGCTTCCTCTCCCTCTCACTAGCAAGTCCGTTCCTCATTGGCATTAGAGCCTACCTCTTTGTGCTTCTGGCACATTCTGAAGTCCAGCTGAGACATCCAGCCTCATGGACTGAACAAAATACTGGATTCTTGGACCTTCCATTGGCAGACAGCCGTTGTTGGACAAATTGGACCATAGTAAGCTATTCTAACAGATGCCCTTCACACACACACACACACACACACACACGCACGCACGCACGCACGCACGCACGCGCACACACACACACTCATTCTGTAAGTTCTGTTCCTTTAGAGAGCCCTGGCTAGTACAGGTACTATGCACACTGTGGCTGGGCAGGAGGTGGTAATCATCAATCATAACTAGCTACAGTAACAATTGGCCTGGTGAGATATGTCCACTGCTGCAAAAGTGGCACAAATGTTCAGGGAGTAACCAACACTTTTCGATTGGACTTAAGGCCTGCTCCACAAGACAGGACCCATTACTGGAGCCAAGAGCCTGTGGCTAGATAGGTAGGGGGAAATCTACTACTATTATTTTGCTACATTGACAATAAACCAGCTCCTAATATCCTGTTGATATACCTGTAGACTAGTACATATCCCAACCTTTATCAGAGAAACGTGTTGCAGTAGATGGCAGTTAACCCCATGACCTAAAACTTGTCAATATGCAGAGAATAAGAGATTTAATATCCATAGTCTAAGATTTAAATAGAATGTCTGTATTATACCCCTTCCTCAAGGCTCAGGGACCTTTGCCAAAGATGGGGTGGAGAGATCATAAGATCCAGAGGTGCTGAATGACTCCAAGGAAACAGTAGTTTTTAGACACAACATACTTGCGCATGTGAACTCATAGCACTTGTAACAGCACACACAAGACCTGTGCTAGTTCAAGCCAGACAAAAGTCCCAGCATGAAGGAAAGAGGTGGGTGTGAAGCCCCCACTCCTAGCTGAGGAGCTTCTGGGAGTGGGAAGGTCATTATCTTTAAGGGTATAAATCCCAGTAAGACCAAGGTCTAAGGCAGGACTCATACCCAAGAGTATCTGGGTAGCACAAATGGGACTCCATGGAAAAGAAAAGAGGACATGAATTTGGGAACATAGAATGGTAGAGGTGGACCCGGAGAGTTGAGGGAGAGAGGTGAATATGATCAAAATACATTGTATGAAATTCTCAAAGAATTATTAAAGATATTATTTAAAAAGAATCATAGTGTAACTCAAGAAACTGCAAGTGAATGAAGTCAACACTATTAACATGGAAAGTTAAATTTTCTCACACAGACAAAAGTGATGTGGACAGAAATATCAGTCTCACAGCTTAAGAAGATGCATGATGAAAAAATAGCTCAAGATCAACAATTCTGAGTTTTTTCTAATATTGATGTAGCAAGATAATATTTGGAAGAATAGTAGGGAAAGGAAAGTAGTGCTTTCAGCAATCTAATCATTAATCATGCATTCTCTTCTTCTTGGTTTTTTTAGAGAAAGCAATCAAATAGAACTTTCAAGTGCAGAAATGTGAACATCTGGAATAATGATTACTGATAACGTCTGGAATAATGATTACTGATCTTGTATGTGTGTATATACATGTACAATGTAACAGTCACATAAAACCAACTATTCCAATCCTAACTACTGTCTGGAAGTTAGCCATTCTTATTTAATGAGACCTAAAAAGTCAACCCAGGGTGTGAACAGGGAAATAAAATTTCATGTTTTCTCAGAAGCTGACAGTGGAGTAGCAGAATGGGAACTTCCTGTTGACAATGGATACTCACTGTCACAGATGATCCAGGACTCCTCGGAAGGGCCGGCCTGTCTCTGTTTCCACGGAGATGAGGGGCACTGCCACAAGGTGTCAACTCCTTCCGGACACTGCACATTATCTGTCCACATGAGCTTGGATGGTGTCTTGTCTGAAGATGTGGGTTTCATGGTCCCCTTGTCTGCACAGCCCAGGTGATGGCACACCACTCCAACGGTGGTTGGAGACATATTGCTGCTGCCGATACTTCCCCATGTACTATTGTAAAACACTTCCAGGTGACCTGTGCAGGTCTCGCTAGGAACTTCATTGGCCAGCCTCAGAGACATGAACTCTGGGGGAAAAGAAGATTTGGTGGTTTCACAACTTCTCTGAAGAAGATTCCTCTTTTTCTAATGAAAAGATGGCTGTAACAGATAAAATGTGTCAACTCCTAGTAATTCATTCGTAACCTCTGGATAAAGAAGTAGATCTTAGTTGCTGTGATTGATTGATAAATAAAATGTTGGTTGGCCAGTAGCCAGGCAGGAAGTATAGGCAGGACAAAGAGAGAAGAGAAGTCTGGGTAGTGGAAGGCTGAGGCAGAGAGACATGGCCAGCCACTATGATGAGAAGCAACATGTCAAGATACCGATAAACCACGAGCCACATGGCAACTTATAGATGAATAGAAATGGGTTAATTTAAGATATAAGAACAGCTAGAAAAAAGCCTAAGCCATTAGGCTATACAGTTTGTTAAAAAAAAAAAAGTTGAAAGATTCTTCAGTCCCATATCAGAAGAGCCCTCTGGTGTGGGACAGAGAAAAATCAATATTTTTATAAATGCAATCTCTTTCTAAAGAAGAAAAAAGGATAGTATAGATAATGATAGGATAAAAGAGTAGATTGTTGAACCTACTTTTAAAGAGCAATGACTTGTTTGAAATGTTTTACATTGCTGTAGATTTTAGTTTATTGATACAAATTTGAAGTTAATTTTGTTGTACTGTATATATATTTCTACTCTCATTTGAGGTATCATGTTTAAGTAACTCATTTAGAATGTAATGGATAATTAAGGAATACAGATTAATAATTAGTCTACTACGATAGTCCAACTTGTAGCATATTAGTTAAGTTTTCTATGTATACATAGATGTATTTCAGATAGGTAGGTAATCTTCAAACACTTCAAAGACCTACAGAATATGGCATTTAAAATATTTTAACAATTTAAAATTTCTGGACAGTGAGACATGTCTGCTCCGGGCAGCACCGATTTACTTCAGAAAGAAGGATGGGCATTGAAGACACTCTGTATGGAGTTTATCTTATTCTTGGCAAAAACAGCCATTTGGGCAAGAAACTGTTTCTGCCTGGACTGCTTGAAAAAAATGTATTGAGTGGACATGAAGGACCCATAGGAAGGTGACCACTGAACTTTGCTGGGCAAAATGATCCTTCAGGTTCCTGCTTCGCAGAGGAAACTGCCAGATATTCTACAGGACACAGAGAAAAGTGACAAAGAGACTCTAGGCTTGTGGGCAGAAGACAGATGCTCCAAATTTACAGAAGAACTTTGGATGACTGTCCAGGCTGCCCAGCTGTCTCTGTCTACTCTCACAAGACTCCTGAAAGTTGCTTGAGTCCTTCTCCCATTTCTCAGATAATATTATATCCTTCTGAGGTGTTTGATGTAGTTGAAGACTAGATAGTTATAATTTCCTTAGTTATGATAAAAGATAAGTTAGATATGAAACATTAGACTCACAAATATAGAATAGATAGGATATCTTCTTTAATTTTGCCAAATACAAATAGACTAGATATTATAAATAGACTAGATAATATAAATAGACTAGATATTATAACTGTAATTCTTGCTTGATAATTGTTTTGTTATATGTAATTTTACTATGTTAAAGTTAAAACCTCCCTTTTTTAAAAAAAAAGAAAAAGGGGAAGTGCTGTGGGTCATTGATTGATAAATAAAACGCTGGTTGGCCAGTAGCCAGGCAGGAAGTATAGGTGGGACAGAGAGAGGAGAAGCGTGGGAAGTGGAAGGTTGAGGCAGAGAGACATGGCAAGCCACTGTGATGAGAAGCAACATGTCAAGATACCAGTAAGCCACAAGCCACATGGCAACTTATACATTAATAGAAATGGGTTAATTTAAGATATAAGAACAGCTAGCAAGAAGCTGAGCCATTAGGCCATACAGTTTGTAAATAATGTAAACCTCTGTGTGTTTGCTTGGGTCTGAGGGCTGCAGGAGCCAGGCAGGAACAGGATAACTTCAGCTGCACTTAGTAAAATAAAGCATTAGTTCCTATATACCATCTGTCTTTTTAATCTGGAGTTTTGTACTTAGGAATCTCTTTTGAAGACTACCAGAGCTCTGAGATGCTTGTGAGATTCAAAGCCTCCTTTGAGCTCTTTTCAATGAGAGAATTTGGATTTTTCTCCCTAAACGACTATAATTTTAACCCGAGAAGTCTTATTCAGTTCTTGTTTGTTTTCAATTGACACATAAACTGTGTATTTTAGGAATATGCTGTGAAGTCTCAGTGCCTATATGTTCCATTCTGTGTTCAAGTCAGGTCTTAGGTGTATGCATCATCTCAAACTCTTAGTGTTGGTATGGGGCTTGAGGCAATGTCTTCGATACTGAACATTTAATGGACGCAGGTGCTAAAACCAACATTTTGTGTACTTTATCTTAAGAGGAAATATTTCCTTTTTGACACACTACTTTGCTACAGATGCCCTCTAGCAGATTTCTGTTATTAAATAGGGATCAGTTGCTTCTGATGTAGAATTGTTTCATTTTATTACTTTACTGTCTTCCTCAACACACTGCAACTGGGGGCATTTTTCTGGTTCGTGAAAGTCTCTGAAGCTTGTTATGTGTACAAAGTGAGAGTTCTTTAGGGTAATATTTGCCCTGTTAGCAAATAAAATTCATTTATCTGCTTTGAAGATTTATTTAAATATGGTAATTATCTCTTTTCTTTGAAAATATTATATTAGTGTTCTTTCTGTTCTTTCTAGTCTGCCTTATTAATATTGTAACTATCAAATGAGTCATTGATACCACATGGATTTATAAAAGCATTTCACTGCTAGCATTTTTGTGATACTCAGACTCATTTCTGTATTTCACTCTTTACAGGATACTAGCCGACACATGAGGTTGTAACAACACATCAAGCAAATGCTTTAGGGCTCCTGACTTGGGAAATAACTGAACAGACTATTGAGGACATATTTCAGGTTGATCTTCACTACCATTTGCTCCTTAGTCATTTAAAATGCAGTTGTGACCTGGAACTACGTGCAGAACTTACCCGAGCAGATGACACCAGCATCCTCCTTGTGCCTGCAGTTATGGCGCCCCCAGCCATGTGAGCGGCATTGCCAAATGTGAGATTCTTTGCCAGTGCAGTTGATCTCATCTAGCCAGATATTCCCTGTTCCTTCCTTAAAGTAGGCAGAACCCGTGGCATTAATAGCCACACCACAGTCCAGCTGCTTGCACACCACACTGGCATCAATCAGATCCCAACTGTCATCACAGATGGTGCCCCAGGAGCCATCATGATAGACCTCTACTCTCCCAGCACAGCGACCGCCTCCACCTACTAAACGAAGTTGACCGCTTGCTGGAAAGAGAAAAGAAGACAACAGTAAAGCTCATTTTGTAAAGGATTCAGATCATTTTCATAGATCGGCCACAAATTCTTACCTATGCAGGGAACATCACTTTCATTTGGAATGGTAGAGCTTGTTGTCTGGACTGAAGACGATGAACTACATGGCTGCAGAATCTGGGACTGGTTTCCTGAAACACCAAAATTTTCAGGCATGTAAGGCAAAAGGTCATGGTGATGAATGAGGGTCACATGGAGAGTCCTACAGATGGTTTGAGGACAAACAGCTTTAGAAAGAGGAAGGAGGATGGCCACAGAGAAAAGGGGAGATGGATGGGCCATCTGGAAGTGAAGCAGGTGCTTTGAGAAAGCTTAAGAGACAGGAAGCCAGTGCTTCTCAACCTGTGGGTTGTGACCCCTCTGGGGGACTGAATAACCCTTTCACAGGGGTCACATATCAGATATCCTGCACATCAGGTATTTACGTTATGATTTGTAACATTAGCAAAGTTATAGCTATGAAGTAGCAAAGAAATAATGCTATGG